TCTTTAGCGGTGGATTGTCGTACAGATCCATCAGCCTAAACAATTTAAACAAATAATTAGTAAACAACCTTTTTAATTTTATTTATTTTATTAATTATTATAAGATAATTATGATTATTATTAATAATATTTACACAAACTAATAAAAAAGGCCTAATGGTGGGAAAATAAACGACCTTTACTTAATATCGAAAGATAAAGTTGATGCATTTGACGTCCTCAACAAAAAGCTGACGTGGCAATTCTCTTAAAGGAGAAATTATTGATGAAGTTGTTGAGAAGTTAATATCAAAAGGTAATCCACTAAGACAAAACATTCAAAAGATGAACCTGAATTCGATCATGAAACATTTGTTGATGCAACTTATTCTCGTGCAAAATGTCGCTGCTAAAAAATGTCATTATAATTTTGAATTTGATGCATCTGTGAGTGGAATGGGTATGGGTAGAATAAAATCAAATAAGGTTCATATAGTGGTTAGTGAGTCATCTATAGAAACCCTATTGACTTAAAAAAAGGGTTAATTGCTAAATAAACCTTAACCTTTTTGCGTTTGGCAATCTTATCTCAATCTTTGGGTAATTGCAATATAATCCCGACCTCAATTTACTTACTGCAAGTCGAGCCTAAAACTGGTTGGACCTTCAAAAAACTGGTCGATTTGAAGGCGGTTTGAACAGATTGGAGCTCATATTTACCGGTTCACTCCAGATCTAGGAGGAGACTCATCACCGGTAGCTTACATTGACGTGGAATTTTTGGCTTTGTGCGTGGATGTACATTAAATACGTGGAAATTGTCAACTTGCTACGTGGATGGCATAAAAGCTCGTGGAAATGGAAGACTTGGACACGAAATCGATCCACAAATCCCTAAAATCAATCACTCTGCACCCAAATTTGCAATAAGTAAATTGAGGTCGGGATTATATTGCAATTACCCAAAAATTGGGATAAAATTGCAAAACGCAAAAAGGTTAAGGTTTATTTAACAATTAACCATAAAAAAAATGTCATTATAATTTTGAATTTGATGCATCTATGACTGGAATGGGTATGGGTAGAATAAAATCAAATGAGGTTCATATAGTGTTAAGTGATTCATCTATAGAAACCCCATTAGACTTAAAGAAAGAAGGCGAAAGAGTGATATATACAATATCAAATGCTTCCAATGATTGTGAAGAATTTCCTTCCAAATTTATGAGTTCGAAGAATGCCACAGAGTCACTCAAAGAGTCAATCAAAAGTAATTATTTCACATGCATAAATTCGCTTACAAACTACATCTAGAAATTTGGTTAAAATTTTTCGCTATTCATATCCCATGGCATATTTTTATGAATAATAAATAATATTTATTTATTAATTTATTTATATATTTAATTTACTGATTTTCTAAAGTTAAATTTTATTATTATTTTATCCTACTTAATAAAAAATTGTACGAATAAACTAAATAAATAAACATATTAAATACATATAATATAAATAATGTAATATTATTTATCTAAATAAATAAATATATTATATTTTAATTATATGTTTTGTTGAATTCTGTATTATATGTTTTATTATTTATTATTTATTATTTACTGTATTAATATTAATATATTTTATTGTTTATTAATTAAATACTGAATTCATTAAATATTAAAAAATAGTAAACTAGAATCAAATAAAATGTATAAATTAAAAATTAAATAAAATAATATATTTTTATTTATTTTTTTTTGTAATCACTATATATTTAAATTATAAAAATAATTTCAATGATAAAAGTACAATTAAAATAAATTCAAATAATAAAAGTAAATTAAATGAATCTAAATAAAATAAAATAAAATGTTGATGTAGCATCTTTTTGCCAAAAGAAAGATAAGTTGCGTGTATGGAGTTGCCAAAAAATCAAAGGTGGTGTATTAAATTATCAAAGTTTAACTTATGATTTGGCTTCTGTTTGCTGAGTCAGACTTTTCGGTGACGTGAAAATTGCCACATCAACTTTCTGTTGACGGGCGTTAAATCCGTGTATCGAGTTGTCAAGAATGTAAAGGTCATGTATTTAAAGGTATTGATTAAATAGCCAATAAAGTAAAAGTCATGTATTTTCCAGCCATTAGGCAAATAAAAAAAATAATATTAATTATTATTGATCCATAAAATACATTATTAATTACTATTAATTATTTTCCTATAAAGTATTGAAAGTCAATTTAATAATTAATCGTAAACACATCACTAATGTAACTACACTTTTTGATTATATAATTACACAAACTAATTAGTTAATAAATTATACAATTTTTTCAACTTATATTAGATTATGACTTATAACTGCAAATATTTTTTTTCCGGAAACAATAGATATATTATAAAATCACATAAATGTACAAAGGAGCAGGCACCAGCTGAATATAACCAGCCAACAGCTGAATAGAATGGGAGGACAGTCAATGACTGCCTAAAGCCGGCCCCAACAGGGAAATACAAACGAACACTAAAACGCTAAAAAACTAAAAGGACCCCAACAGGGTAATACCCGAGTGTCTGCTCCCAACAGGAAAATAAGTTGATACTCGATCTCAAAACAACAAAACAAATACACGGCAAAATAACACACTAGACAACTTAACTAATAACAAACAAACAACATAAACAAAACGGCCCTTCCTGAACAACATCACCTAGCCGAACTAACGGAAATAAGTCGACCACATATCCCGTAGCCAGAATGCCGACCCCGAAACTGCCTAAACCACTCGGTTGCCTATCAGAGACGAAATTCCGACCCCGGAACCGCAGTAGGCCAACCCGCACTACGACCACAACACCAAATTGCACCGGGCGGACAATAGAGTGCCACGGCCCCA